ACTCAACATGACTTAGGGAGCACTCCTAAGCAGGTGTACTCAGAATTAAATCCTACTTTATTCAGTTGTGCTTACTCCCAGGAAAGTGTGCTTAAGACTGATTACTGTTGATTACTTAAAAGTTACATCATTGGGAAGGCAAGAGACTCTAATTTCACATTACCCTTCTTAAGCCGGTTTGAAGGCGTTTTTGATCCATAACATCCTTTAACACATGTTATAACAAATAAGTCAATTTTTCCATTCACATTGACATTTATTCCATTTACCATCCGATGGTAATTTAAACAACTTATAGTATTTAAGTAAAATTAAATAAAGTTAAACAATGCATTTACGCTTCTATCCTTTCCCTTGTTCTTCAAACTCGCTAGCCTACTACACATCTATATTTATTTTCCTTAGCTTTAACCATTTGTATATATCTCCCCATTTCTCCCAGTAATCCTCTTCCAATGATTTCTGTTTTTAAGTTCCATGTTAATTTTATCCATTTCTGCTATTTCCAGTACCTTGTTCTTTATTTCTTTTATTGAGGGTAACATATTAGATTTCCATTTTTTTGCAATCAGTATCCTTACCGCTGTTATTATTTGTATTATTATATGTCTATGTTTTTTCGTTATTCCATCTGGAATCATATTTAGTAAATATATCTCTGGTAGTAATGATAAATTTATTTTTAAATTTTTATTTAAAATGTTTTGCAATTTTTTCCATAGTTTTTGAACCTTATTACAATTCCACCATATGTGCATAAATGTACCTGTATTTTTCTTACATCTCCAACATCTGTTGGAGGCTTGTGGGAAACACTTTGCTATTTTGTTGGGCGTCCAATGCCATCTGTAGTACATTTTATATATGTTTTCCTTAAGTGGTGTTGCTCTAGATATATGACACACTTCCAGTGATGTCAGGGGGTGTGGCATATGCTAATGAGTTATGCTAATGAGTTCCCCTAGCTCTTTTTCTACGAAACGACCCCTGTATAATAAATCCAACCTCCTCCTCCTCCTCCTCTTCTTCTTCTTCTGTTTCAGTAGAGATGGGGCATCACAGGCTGTTTTAAACTCACCACAGAGTCAGTTTGTGAATCATTTTTTGTTGTTGTTCTGTTTCCAGAAATAACAGACCGTTTTTAACAAGCCGCACATGCACTGTTTGTGAATCTGATGGTCCTGAACGTGAATTGCTCACCGATGAGCGGTCACGGACTTTAACAAAAGACCTTTTGTGGCCCTCAACAATAGAGACGTTTCATTGATCCCTGGGACTCCCTCTCCATTCTCCCCTGTCACTGTTAAGGAAAGTGACACCTCAGTCAGAACTAAGCCGGATGGCAGAGAAAGAGCGTGGGGCTGTTTTGCAGTTTGAATGGACAACAGAGATAAACAAAGAGTCTGGAGCTGTGAGCTGGCAGAAGGCAAAGCAGATTGGTGTGTCGGGGCTGGCAGTGAGAATCAGACATTTGCAGATTTGCTGATGTAGAGGAGTCTGTCTCTCTCCGATATATTTGACTTTGCTTATCTGTAAACAAAACAAACATTACCAATGTTACACTTGCCTAAGGGTGGCGGGCAAACTCACACTCCAGGGCTTCAAGCTCCCACCATGGCGTTTTGCTCCAGCAAGATCAAAAATGGGAGGCAGGGAGCAACACTGCTGCGATGTCACTTTGAGTGGTGCCTGGAAGTGATGCCACAACCCTCTAGGAATCTCCAAATCTCTATGGTTTTATCAGTGAGATGGGGGAATTCCTAGAGTGTTGTGATGTCACACGTTCCTCCACCCATTTTTGCTCCTGTTGGAGTCAAGATGTTGCCTGGCTACCCTACTAAGGAGGTGCAGTTGTTTTCATTTTTGTTGCAAAAGCTCCATTTGTTCTATAATTGTTATATATATATATATGTTTTCATCATTATAATTCTTTACTTCTATTGTAGGGTTGCCAAATGGCACTTACCCTTCCGGCGGGGGACTCCAGTTCGGCTCCCAACGTGTGCGCGCGTGCGCAAAGCACGCGGGAGCCGCATGCACGTCACAGGGAAGTGGCGTCGTGACGCCGGGCATGCTGGGGGCGGGGCCACGACCATACAAGGGGAAAGCATAGAGTTTTTCCTTGTATGGCCGTGGCCCTGCCCCCAGCATGCCCGGCGTCATAACGTCACTTCCCTGTGATGTGCACGCTGGGGCGGGGTTCCCCCCGGGGCCCGAGTCGGGGAACGGGTCTCTGAGGCGGGGGGGTTTCCGCCCCCCGGGGGGATTTGGCAGCCCTATTCTATTGGTTTCTCTAGGAAAGTTTAGAGGTAAGTTTCCTAACTACTGCTTTCTCCTGACCTGCTTCTCTTATCTCTGGTTGAATGTCTCCCCTTGCAAGATATGTTTGATTGATGATTGGAAAGCTTCCATGTCAGTTTCATAACTCTTGCTCTCTCCTGGATCTCTTCCCCTCCCTCTGACCCACCAGAACACTAACTGGATTGCTAGGCACCAGGGACACAACTGAAATGAATGCCATTCCTTCCTCCATTTTAATTCTCATTCATTTTGTTATAACAATGAATGTTACAAATGGGGGTTTGGTACATTTCCACATTAGTTTAGAAGCAAAAACCTTAAGAGGATACTGCAAGTCTCTAATACTTTCTCATCCAAAGGAAACTAGCAGTGCTATCCTAAGTGGAGTTACACTACTCTAAGTCCACTCACTTCAGTTTACGCAAAATTACATAACTCTCCTTAGAATAGCACTGTGAATCACTTAGCTGCGCTCTTGGACTTCTTGCTGTTTGGAGAATTCAGAAGTACCAAACAACATTATGGTAAGTAGATCACAACAATCCTCCCAAGATGGAAGCCTAAGGAGGATTTCTACATACTCTTCCCTCATCCTTCCATTTTTCTGGTTCTCCACAGCTCAAGTTTTTTAAAAAATGACAGTAGAAAAAAATTAGGCATAAACATATTTATAATCTACTAATAAATAGATAATATGTTCAGATTAAGCCTGAAACCTTCTCTTCCTAGGGCTGCCAACCTTCAGGTAGTGACCGGAGATCTCCCACTATTACAATTGATTTCTGGTCAAAAGAGATCAGTTCACCTAGAGAAAGTGGTTCCTTTGGAGGGTGGGCTTTGTAAGCATTATACCCCACGGAGGTCTCTGCTGTCCCCTCCACAATCCTTCCCCTCCTCAGGCTAAGGGATGCCAGCTCCAAGCTGGGAAATTCCTGGAGATTTTTGGGGTGGAGCCTGAGGGTGGAGTTTGGGGCAAAATGCTATATCCAACTTCCAAAGCAGCCACTTTCTCCAGGTGAACTGATCTCTGACACTTGGAGATCAGTTGTAATAGCAGATCTCCAGCCACCACCTGGAGGTTACCCAGGCTCTACCCCCCCAAAATCTCCAGGAATTTCCCACTCTGAAGGTGGCAACCATAGCAAACCACAAGTGCAGGCTGGGCTATTGCTGAGAGTTAAAGGGACACAAGGTGCAGTGGGTGGAGGAAATAGGGTTGCCAAACCCCAGGTGGTGTTGGGTTGCCAACCTCCAGGTGGGATTATTACAGTGATAAATGCATTAAACTAAATAAAAAGATTGAAGGTCAAAAGAAGACGGGGATGGCAAAGGATGAGATGGTTAGACAGTGTCATAGATGCAATGAACATGAAGTTGAGCAAACTTCAGAGGACGGCGGAAGACCGGAAGGCCTGCCGGGATCTGGTCCACAGGGTCGCAAAGAGTCAGACTCGACTGTGCGACTAAACAACAACAACAACAAATAATACAGACTGTAACTCACCCGAAATAAATTTTCTACTAGCAATTGTGCTTTGTTATTGACCTATGAAGAAAAAATATGTGAGCATCAGGCTTAATTTCTACTCTTATAGATGAGACAAAATGCTGGAAATTATCTATAGAATCTTGTTCAGAAGAAGGAGCGTCGAAACGACACACGACATTCCGGAGCACCTCGTTAACATAATTTGCTTCGTTAAAAACCACTTCTGTTTATTTGAAACTGACTGTATTTTTGTATTCCAACCTTGTAAAAAAGGCCTATAACTTTAACTTATTTAAACAGCATATATTTTCTGATTTTTGCCAGTACTGTATTATTTAGTTTAGCGCACTTATCACAGTAATAATCCCTGTGTAGTGTAATATCCATATACTGTGTACCATACTCTGTTTGCTTAACCTCCAGGTGGGGCCTGGAGATATCCCACTTTTACAAATGATCTCCAGGCAGCAGAGATCAGCTCCCCTAGAGAAAATGGCCACTTTGAAAGGCGGGCTCTATGGCATTATCCCATCGAAGTCCCCCTCCTCCCTTTTCAGGTTCCACCCTCCAAATTCTCCAGGTATTTCCCAACCTGGAGCTGGCATGAGAGGAAAAGGCTTTTCTTCTGGGCAGAGGGTTAGCTAGGGACCCATGAGACTACACGTTTTATTTCATTTTTCTCATCAGTTTGGTACAGTGGTTAGGAGTGCGGACTCTAATCTGGGAGAACAGGGTTTGATTCCCCACTCCTCCACTTGCACTTGGCTAGATGACCTTGGGTCAATCACAAGCTCTGGCACAGCTGTCCTTGAAAAAGAGCAGTTTGTGTCAGAGTTCTCTCAGCCCCACCCACCTCACAGGGTGTCTGTTGTGAGGAGGGGAAGGGAAAGGAGTTTGTAAGCCGCTCTGAGACTCCAAGTGAAGGGCGGGGTATAAATCCAATCTCTTCTTCTTCTACTACTTCATTTCTTATTTATAACACTTGTGATACATATTCATTCACACACGTGTATTTAAAATGCGTGCAATGTCTATTTAAAATTATAACACTTTGCACGCGTCTTAAGAAACACGCGCGTCTCCTGCAGTCGACTGTTTGAAAGAACAGCAAAAAAGCTTCTGGGAAAGGGGGAAGGAGGAAACAGGGCCGCAGCGGGCTGCGCCGCTCGGCTGCCATAGCAACCCCCCGAGCCCCGCCCCTTCCCCCGCCCTCCTCGCAGAGCCTGCAAACCACCGACGCGGGACTGGAGCCTAGAGCGCCCCCTGCCTCCGAGGGCGTCCGCTCTAGGGGCGCTCTTTCCCGGTGGTCTCCGGCGTCCTCGCGCGGCTTCCAGTCCTCCTCGGGCTCGGCTGAGGCGGCCGCGGCGATTCCTTGGGTGGGGGAGCGGGACTATCCAGAGCCATCCGCCAACATGGTGAGCGATTCCTCGGCGGGGGAGGCGCGGGACCCCCAGGGGGGAGCCCCGGCCGTCGGAGCCCGGCCCCATTTCGGGGCGCAGACGTCCTTCGGGGGGGCGCACGGCCCTTCGTCTCCTGGCCGCCCCCCTCTCCCCACAGCCACCATTTTCAGGGCCGTTGCTCCCCGGGTGGGTGGGGGAGGGGAGATACCGCCGCCATTTCCCCCCGCCCAGGCCCCCCTCTGGGGCTCTTGACACCTGTCACTCGGGGGGCCGAGGCCTCTGCCCCATAGCCAGAGGAGGTTGTGTGGGGAGGGGGGGGAGCGGGAGAGTTGCCCCCCATAGCACATTCCCATGTCGCATGAACAGGGTGGAAGCTTTGGCATTGCCCCCCCCTTTCTGATCCCCCCCCCCCCCCTTAAGGTATTTGGTTTGATCCCTTACTGGTTTATATATAAATATATATATGACATGGCTTTTTTTGGGGGGGGGGACTTTCTCCTCTCCCTCCGGGCCAGCGAAGCAACCCTGCATAATCATGGTGGCCTGACAGCCCTTGTGCGTGATTATCGGGGAAATGGCGAGTGTGAATCCTCCGCTGCCTTTCAAATGCCAACAGGATCCCGGGTTTTATAAGAATAAAATCCGCTCCCCCCAAGGGTGGGATCTCCCAAGCGGGGCCGATTGCATTGTCTGAACGTCAGGGTGGGTTTTGCAGGAAAGGTAGAAAGGTGTCTGTTCCCGTCTGGTGTGTCTGTTCAGCGGGCGACCGAATTACATTGCTGCGTCTGGCACGGCAGAGCTGGGGAGCGGGTGCAAGGGAGAGATGAGTGTGTTTATTCCACCTCCGGCCATCCTTCATCTTAGCACGGAACGCCCTTTAAAATGTGGACCTCCCGTTGCCTCCTTCCTCTGTCATCCAGGTAGCAAATGACTGCGTGGCTTGTGTTTATAATGCCATGCGTGCGCATGGATACAGAGATGTATAATTATTGCAGTGTGCTGGGCTGGTGCCAGGAAATCAACTAAGACTCTTGTCTGGGGGGGGGGTAATTAAAGAGCAGCAGAATTAAAAATAGTGACAGAGAAAGGTTTGACTTTTAAAAAAACCTTAATGGTTGCTGCCCTACAGAGATCAGTTGTGTTTATCAAGGAGGCGTCCATATACTGCAGGTCCCTGCATGAGTATGTGTATGGGTGATATGATACCTTCCCACCCTTGCCAGCTTTAAATAGCAGGAGAACAAACCACAGTCAGAGATGCACAGCCACAGTTCATCTGTCCGCATCGAAGGGGGAAATTGAGTCAGTGACATTTGGCAAAGTATTAGTAATAGTGCTTAGCAGTTACATAATGCGCTGCAGGTACTGAAGGTGCTTCGTGTGCTTTTGTTCAGTAGTTCCGTACAACAGCCCTGTCGGAGCGGTCTGTATCATGACACCTCTAGTGCTAACAGCGAGGGGGCACTTAAGGCCCCATAATGATCACTCACAGCTATGGTGAGATTCGAACCAGAGACTTGCCAGCTTGCATTCCCAAAGCCTGATCCAATATGTTTACTCTGAGGCATATCCCATGGAACTTAATGTGTCTTCCTGCTAAATAAGCATGCATAGAATGCTTGCATAGAACCTGAGCCAATGTGCTTATGCCAGCTGTTGCTGGGACAGTTTGTCTGGGAAGTAATGAAAGGACCATGGCTAAGTGGAAGAGCCTCTGCTCGGCATACAGAAGGGACTTCCCAGCTTGCATTCACAAAGCCTGATCCAACATGTTTACTCTGAGGCATATCCCACGGGACTTAATGTGTCTTGTTGCTAAATAAGCATGCATAGAATGCGTGCATAGAACCTGAGCCAATGTGCTTATGCCAGCTGTTGCTGGGACAGTTTGTCTGGGAAGGAATGAAAGCACCATGGCTAAGTGGAAGAGCCTCTGCTCGGCATACAGAAGGGCCCAAGTTCAATCCCCGGCATCTCCAGTTGAATGATGTGCCAGTAGGTGATGGGAAAGACCTCTGCCTGAGACCCTGGAAAGCGGCTGCCAGTCAGAGTAGACAATACTGACCTTGATGGACCAAGGGTCTGATTCAGTATAAGGCAGCGGCTTCATGTGCTTGTTGGAGAGGGGCTATGGCTCCGTGGTAGAGCCTCTGCTTGGCATGCGGAAGCCCCAGTTCAATCACCGACATCTCCAGTTAAAAGACCTGGCAGTAAGTGATGGGAAAGACCTCTGCCTGAGACCCTGGAGAGCGGCTGCCAGTCAGAGTAGACAATACTGACCTTGATGGAACAAGGGCCTGATTCAGTAGAAGGCAGCTTCATGTGAAAGCTGTTCCTTGGTTATTTGTTAGGGTTACCAATAGAGGGGTTTTTTAAGTGTCAGGTTTAGCCACTAGGTAAGCCCTCTGGGAGTCCATATAGCCCATATAGAGTCCATCTCCCAAATGGGGCATTTTCTCCAGGTAAACTGATCTCCGTGGCTTAGAGACCATTTGTAATCCCAGGAGATCTCCAGCCACCACCTGGAGGATTTGGCACAAAAACACAGCACTGAGGCTGTAGCCCTGTGTAAAGAAATGCAAATGGACACTTAAAGTCCTAAAGATAAATCTTATTCAAAGTTTGTAGTGTAAACAGCTAACATCTAATACATTCATACATATTCAATATGGTCCACACAGGACTCCTTAGGTGAGTTCCAGCTTCCAAATGAAAACTTCAAATACAATTCAATACATTAGAATACAGCCAAGCTCTTTTCCTGTGCGACCAAAGTCTTCTCTAGAGTGGTCAGTGGCGACAAATGCCTAGGTTCTCTTGACTGTCGCACATCAGTCTACAAACTTTCTAGCTGACTTGAAAATCAGGCTTCAGCTAGAAGTTCTGTAGACTGCTGTGCAACAGTCAATAGGAGGTTTTGTGAACTTGGCAGGTTCTTCTGGAAAGTGGCCTGAAGAAAGGAAAATTGAAATGAAGAGAACCTAGGCATTCGTCGCCACTGGACCTCCTGATGGCACCTGGGTTTTGGCCGCTGTGTGCCAGAGAGCATTGGACTGGATGGGCCATTGGCCTGATCCAACATGGTTTCTCTAAGGCTCTTAAGAGCAGAGGTCCATCAGTGGCTGTTAGCCACAAGGTATAGATGGGACACTGTCTGGGGCAGTGACGCTCTGTATTCTTGGTGCTTGGGGGGGCCACAGTGGGAGGGTTTCTGGAGTTCTGGCACCACTGGTGGACCTTCTGATGGCACCTGGGTTTGGGCCACTGTGTGACACAGAGTGTTGGACTAGATGGGCCATTGGCCTGATCCAACATGGCTTCCAACATGTTCATTCTTGGAGACCCAGATTCAAATAATCCTTCTGTCACAAAGCTCGCTGGGTGATGTTGGGTCAGTCCCTCTCTCTCAGCCTAACAGGGCTGTTACGAGGAGAACATGAAGTAATGGAGAAAGGGGAGGTTAAATACTCGACAGAAGAGAAGAGAAGAAGAGATTGGATTTATACCCCGCCCTTCACTACCCAAGGGAGTCTCAGAGCGGCTTACAAACTCCTTTCCCTTCCCTTCCCTACAACAGACACCCTGTGAGGTAGGTGGGGCTGAGAGAGCTCTGACAGAAACTGCTCTTTTTCAAGGACAGCTCTTGTCAGAACTATGGCTTGCCCAAGGTCATCCAGCCAGGTGCAAGTGGAGGAGTGGGGAATCAAACCCAGTTCTCCCAGATTAGAGTCCAAACCACTACACCAAACTGACAGAAGTTGTGTCTCCTGAATCTTCAGCCCAGTGTGGTCCTGTCCTTCCTGTATCATAATTCTGCTGTACATGGAGACCAGAACTACATGTCAGGTCACTGCAGCCATAGCAAGTCTTGTCCGCCTGTCCCCATGACATCATCAGTCATCAGACAAAGGGCTGTCGCTGTTGCTCAGTGTTTCTTCACTTCTCGGTGGTCCCTTCCCTCATTCAGGGGCGTCAACCTAAAGGGGAGTACCAGATTCCCCAGTCCTCAGGCACAATTACGTTTCCACCAAAAATCAATCCGTTATGATGGCGGAGGAAACCAGTAGCAGGACTAGTGACTGCCTTAGCAAATGTTTTTTGCAATGTGCCACCTTTCCACATCTTGCCTAGTAAAATCCCTTTCTTTGCATTCTTCCAAGTCACCTGATTCCCCCCCTCACCTTCAGGCTTGAGAAAACTCATTTGCAGTTTACAGTCCTTCGCTGTCTAAATCCCCATTCCAATGGCCCTGCTTGACTACCAACGTCTTCTAATGTGTTAGAAGTAAAAGGTAAAGGTTTCCCTTGCTCGAAAGCCGGCCGAATCCGACTCTAGGGGGCGGTGCTCATCTCCGGTTCCAAGCTGAAGAGCCAGCGCTGTCCAAAGACTTCTCCGTGGTCATGTGGCCGGCATGACTAAACGCCGAGGCGCACGGAACGCTGTTACCTTCCCACCAAAGCGGTACTTATTTATCTGCTTGCAATTTCTTGCTTTCCAACTGCTATGTTGACAGGAGCTGGGGCCAGAGACGGGAGCTCACTCCATCACACAGCATTCGGGTCTTGAACTGCCGAACTACCGACCTTCCGGTCTGCAGCTCAGCGTCTTAACCTCTGTTGTTGTTGTTCAGTCGCACAGTCGAGTCCGACTCTTCGCGACCCCATGGACCAGATCACGCCAGGCCTTCCTGTCTTCCGCCGTCCTCTGAAGTTTGCTCAATTTCATATTCGTTGCATCTATGACACTGTCTAACCATCTC